GAGAGAGATTCCAGGACCCTTTGGCCGAGGAGAAGGCAAAGGGGCAGCTAAAAAGGATTTACCAGGGAAATAAGACTGTGTCCGAATATGCCCTGGAATTTAAGGCTATAGCTGGCAGAATCAGAGACTGGTCTGAAACAACCAAGCTGGAATATTTCTGAGCCGGGCTACGCACAGACGTGCTAGAATGGGCGATGCATAGAGACAACCCCGACAATTTGGAAGACTGGATCATCTTGGCCGGGAGGGTCGAATGCAACCAGGAACAGATGCCACGTCGGGCTCGAGAGAGAGGACGAACCCGGCACCCCACGGCAGGCCAACCCGGGGGAATGAGGAGCCCCTCCCCAGGGGGAGATCGTCCAGCCGCGAGAGGAGAGGAAAGAGGGGGGCCTGCTTCACCTGTGGCCGAGAAGGGCACCGAGCCGTGGAATGTCCCCGAGGGCCCAGCACCCCCAAGACCGACAAGGCCCTTCCCCAAAAGTCGACACCAGGGCCTAAAGCCACAAAAGGAAAAGCCTCCACGGCTGTGGAGTCGGCGCTGGTCCCGCACCAGCTCCCTGCGGAGGAGATCGAGCTGGAGGAAGCAGACGATGAAACCTAACCGGCGGGAAACGGTCGAGATCTGTTGTAGACGCCGCCGGCAGGCAGATCGAAGACTCCCAGGGCGGTGAGTTAAAAAAGCTCAACTGTGATGTAGTTAAAATGACAGTGACTCTAACCAACCCCGAGTCGGGACTGAAAATGGAGACTGAAGCCACGTTAGACTGTGGGTGCACCAGGTGCTTGATCACCCCAATACTAGCAGCCCAATTAGGAGTAAAGCCCCAGCCCCTAAAAACCCCCGTTGTCTTCTCTCAGCTGGATGGGTCCTCCGCCCACGGGGCCCCTGTGAGAGAAAAGACGGGCTACTTACACATGGAGATGAGGACTCATAGAGAGACTTTACAATTTGTGATATCTCCCATGGCTCACCAGCCTGTCATATTGGGAATCCCTTGGCTAAAATGGCAAAATCCCCAAATCAACTGGGCAGAAGGGACGTTCATCTTCACAGATGGGAATTACAAACACAGAGGCCCCGTGCAGGCATCCCATGAACCCAATACCCGAGGGGCCCTGGCAGAGGTCTCCCCTGAGGATCCGAGGGACAGCACCCCAAGCGTATACCGGGAGTGGGCTGAGGTCTTTAGTGAGACTGAATGCAACCAACTGCCAACGGAAAACAGACTGTGCCATTGAGTTTGAACCAAATGCCAAGTTGCCAAGCCCAAAGCTATATGCTATGTCAGAGCCCGAAAAAAAAGCCCTCCGGGAATTCATTGACAAGAACCTGGAGAAGGGATTCATAGAGCCATCGAGCTCCCCCATGGCAGCGCCAGTGCTGTTTAGGCCCAAGGCTGATGGATCGTTGAGGCTGTGTGTAGATTACAGGGGCCTGAACGCCATTTGCACTTCAAACCAGTACCCCCTCCCCCTCATGACAGATATCTTGGCTCAGCTGGGCAAGGCACGCATCTTCACCAAACTTGATATCAGGGAAGCCTTCTATAGACTGCGGGTGAGAGATGAAGACTGCTGGAAAACGGCATTCAATTGTCATCTCGGCCAGTTTCGGGTGGTTCCTATGGGTTTAAAAGGCTCCCCCCGCGTGTTCATGCAATTCGTCAATGACATCTTCCACGAGCTGTTATATAAGGGGGTGCTGATTTATTTAGATGATCTATTAATATACTCAAACTCTCTAGACCAACACATAAAAACAACCCAAAAGGTGCTCCAGATATTGAGAGAAAATCAGCTATATGTCAAACTCTCTAAATGTGAATTCCACCGGACTGAGCTCAATTACCTGGGATTCCGTATATCCACTAGGGGGCTCGCTATGGATCCAGCTAAAGTGCAGGATGTGTTGGCATGGGAGCCGCCCTGTACCAGGAAACAGCTTCAGGGTTTCCTGGGGTTTGCTAACTTTTACAGGCAGTTCATAAAAGACTTTGCCAAAATAGCCCTACCACTGACTGAACCTGCTAAAACCCAAAGGGAAAGGGGAGACAAAAAAGGTAAAACCCCCCGGGGCTAGGTTACAGTGGTCACCTGAATGCCAGAAGGCCTTCGAAGAGTTAAAAATAAGATTCACTAGCCAGCCCATCCTGATTCATGCACAATTGGACAAGCCATTTGTAGTACAATGTGATGCCTCTGAGGCCGCTTATGGGGCAGTGCTGCTGCAGGCGGACGATAATGGTCAGCTCAAGCCTTGCGCTTATTTGTCCAAAAAGTTTTCTGAGACTGAGCGGCATTGGCACGTATGGGAGAAGGAGTCCTTTGCAGTGCGGGCGGCGCTACCTCATTGGCAGCACTTCCTGAAGGGGACTACAATTCCCTTCGAGGTGTGGACAGATCACAAAAACTTGCAAGCCCTGCAAACGCCACAGAGGTTAAATGCCAAACAACTCAGATGGGCTCAGTTTTTCCAGAGGTTTAATTTCCGCCTCAAGTTCGTCCCGGGAAAGACGAACCAGTTGGCAGACACCCTTTCACATATGCCCTTGCACTTGAACCTGATTCTCTGTTTGTTCCTCCTGATGCTAATGAAAATATATTTACTGATGCTAATGAAAATGTACCTCTTGATGCCAATGCTCCTGAAATTAGTGAGGAAGAAACTTCTGTAGGTTTGGAAAATGCCAATGTTCCTGAAATTAGTGAGGAAGGAACTTCTGTAGATTTGGAAAATGAAAGTACCAGTGTTCATGAGAATGTTTCAGAGGGAAGCCATGACCTTTCACTCCCTTCTGCACCTGGTAACTTTAATGAGAACAGAAGGGGCCAGATTTGGCAAGACAGAAGTAAATCACTCAGCTTGCGTAGGTCTTCCCGATTAAGAGAAATACAAACAATGGCTTCAAAGCAGAGGGGCGGTTCACGGAACCAATTCTTCGGCTTTAAGTGCCTTCCACCGGGCTGACTTTCTCAGTTCAGGCATCGTTTCAGATTGATGAAGACCTTGGCAGTTCTCCCGGTTTCCCTGGCCATGGTCTTGAAAGATTTCTAGGATATCAAGCACGGATTGCTAACAGGTTCCAGTATTTTATAGTGTGGCTTTGGGTTTTGTTTTGTCCATTTAAATTCATGTTTGCTGATTTTGCTGTGGCTTTTGACTTGCATTTTTCCTTTATTTTGTAACCATTTTTCTTCAATTAAAAAAGGATTGTTTTTCACAGTCAAGTGTGGTGGATAGTTATCTTAGGGCCTCGTTCCCTGCTCTGGATTGCAACGGGGGGGGGGGGGGGGCGCAAGTGTTGAGGATACCTGTCGTGGGCCATCCAGCAAACACAGCTCTTCAGCAGGTAAAGTGGAGCGACAGCACCCCAAACCCCCCCCCCCCCATGGCCGGAACTGGGCACAGCCTCCAAAATGCCGAAGATGGGGGAGAGAGCCTATATATATCTACGTACAGTTGTCTGTCTTGTCAGTGTTTAAAGGCAATGAACGTTTGCCGTGTATGTGTTCTGTGATCTGCTGAGAGTCCCCTTCAGGGTGGGAAGGGTGGAATATCAATACTGTTAAAAATAAATAAAAAATAAATATGGGGTTGGTTTAACCTAGATGAGAGTTAAGCTGCATTACCATGTCATGAAAGGATGCATGTCTAAAAATGTGCCACTAACATGAAAGGTTTGCATAGCTTTGTCTTAAGGTAGTGTCTCTGAAGTTAAGTACCGCTGTTCTCTCCTATGGAAAGTCTATGTCCACGTAGATATGAACTCTCAGAGAAGCTCTTTCCACATGCCCTGGATTTATAGGGTTTCTCTCCAGCATGAATCACTTGATGTGAACGTAGATTTCCACTATGACACCAAAAACAACACTGATAGTTCAACTTTACGTACACATCACAGGACTCACGCTGGGGAGAAACCCTATACATGCCTAGAGTGTGGACAGAGCTTGTTGTTGTTGTCTTGAGTAATGAGTGAAGCTCTGTCCACACTCCAGACAGTTAAAGGGTTTCTCCCCAGTAAGAGTCCTTTGATGTGAACGTAGACTTCCACTCCGAGTAAAGCTCTTTCCATAGTCCAAGCATTTATAAGGTTTCTCCCCAGTGCAAGGAGGGAGGGCAAGGGGAGGGCAGGATCGTGGGGCCCCTGGCCCTTTCCCCGCCGGAGCCATGGAGGCTGCCCCCAAGAAGGGTGAGTGGGACCTGGGGTGGGTGGGGGAGGCAGGGGGGTGTAGAGTGTGAGGGTCCGGGAGGCAGGCAGGCAGCGAGAGACGCAGCAGAGGAGAAGGCTGCACAGGCAAAGGCAAGGCCGGGGACTCGGAAGACTCAGTAACAGCGGCAGCGGAGCCCGCCCCGGCTTATACCTTCATTCGAATATAAGCAGAGGGAGGCTTTTTCATCCACCCATAAGGGCTGGAAAACCCGGCTTATATTCGAGTATATATGGCATGTTGTAACCAGCCTGTAAAATCGTCATCATCATCATCATCATCCATGAAACCTACACCTGCAAATATAGAGGGACTGCTCTACGGAAATGCTGGGTCCAGATGTGTGGCAATGGAAACCGAAGTCATGCCTAAAAAACCACGGCAAAGTGTATATATTTAATAACTGAAGCATAAAAATCAAACCCACAGCCATGTAACCGACATACAGGTAGAAAACAATATCCAAAAGGACCTTAGATGATGTATTAAACCTGTCAGGAGCCAATTTCTGAAGGCATGAAGACATCACAAATTCCCTCCGTGACATCCTGACTGAATCATCCTGGCTGCCTCAATTTTCTCTCTGTGACATTTTGAAGCCAGCAAAGGGCGCTGGAAACCTTGTGTTGGAACTTGTGAAGCAACAAGCTCTAATAAGGAAACGGAGAAGGGAGGGAGATGGGCAGGAAAGGTGTATAAAAGGAAGTGGTGGTGGGGAAAAGTCAGTAGTGTCTTTCTTTGCTGCAGAGATACAAACAATATATTCATTTCAAAGCAAAACCGGCTTGTGAGTGGTCATTTAATATTGCTATATAAAACCTACAGTCTTACAAAACCTCCGCTCTATCTGTCTTTCAGGTCTCTGATATTTTGACCCTCCTAAATTCCCTTTTTGCAAACATTACTTTATTAAGAAAAAGAGAAAAATAGTATATAGATACACGAAGTACACACACAAACACACACAGACCTGGGTTGAATTTTAAGAACCTCACTCTTAGATGATTGCATACCTTATAATTCTACTCCACTTAGATACTCCTATGCACGTACTGCTTTCGGCAACACACTTCTAATCATAAACCCAGCCATGGACATTTGTCCCTGTGGTTGTTATGAAAAACTGAGCAATAAGTCTGTACTTGGTGGAGTCACTTTGTCCATCACTTGTGGCTCTTAATCGGTTACTCTTCTTGTGCGGATGACACTTCCTCCCATCTCCGAGGATAAATGATGCTTGCTCCAGCTATCATATAGTCTAGGAATTTTCCCAATTTTATTTCTAGAAAACTGTTCAGCATTACAAAGAAACAACTCTGGTCTCATTGTAAATGTAACCTTAACAATTCTCTTCCAGCATTATATGCATTTGAGTATTCCCAGGCCTTCTGCAAAGGCACCGCAGTATGATACAAATATACCAACGTTGTGCTCTCATTTTTCAGCATTAACAAGCATGACGAATGTGAGTCCTTTCCTATGAACGAACCTGAACTATCAGTGTGGCTCTGTCCACACTCCAGGCATTCATAGGGTTTCTCCCCAGTGTGAGTCCTTTCATGTGAACGTAGACCTGAACAGTGGGTGAAGCTCTGATCACACTCCAGAAATGTATAGGGTTCTCCTCAATGTGAATTTTTTCATGTGATTTAGATATGAACTATCAGTGAAACCCTGTCCACCCTCCAGGCATTGGTAGGGTTTCTCCCCAGTGTGACTCCTTTATTTATTTATTTATTGTATTTATATCCCACCCTTCTCAACCCCATAAGGGACTCATGGTGCCTTACCTATATAGGCAACAATTAGATGCTCAAAAACCACATACAATAAAAACATAAGCATTAAACCAATTATTTAAACATAATAAAACCTTAAAACCAAGTATTTAAAATCATGCAATCCAACATTGCAATCCTTTGATGTGGACATAGGCCTTCACTCCAAGTGAAGCTCTGTCCACACTCCAGGCATTTATAGGGTGTCTCCCCAGTGTGAGTACTTTGATGGGAATGTAGACTTGAACTATCAGTGAAACCCTGTCCACACTCCAAGCAAGTATAGGGTTTCTCCCCGGCGTGGTTCCTTTGATGTGAACGTAGACTTCCACTGCTAGTGAAGCTCTGCCCACACTGCAGGCACTTGTAGGGTTTCTCCCCAGTGTGAATCCTTCGATGTGCACGTAGATTTCCACTCCGAGTGAAGCTCTGACCACATTCCTGGCACGTATACGGTTTCTCCCCCGTGTGAGTCCTTTGATGTGAACGTAGACTCCCTCTCCGAGTGAAGCTCTGTCCACACTCCAGGCATTGGTAAGGTTTCACCCCAGTGTGAGTGCCTTGATGTGAACGTAGATGTGAGCTATGAGCAAAGCTCTGTCCACACTCTAGGCATAGATATGGTTTCTCCCCAGTGTGAGTGCTTTGATGTCTATCTAGATTTCCACGCTGAGTGAAACACTGTTCACAATTAAGACATTTATAGGGTTTCTCCCCAGTATGAGTCCGCTGATGTCGTTCTAGATTTCCACGCTGATTGAAGCTCTTTCCACATTCCAGGCATGTATAGGGTTTCTCCCCAGAGTGAATCCTTGCATGTGCACGTAGGTGTAAACTATGAACAAAGCTCTTTCCACATTCCAAGCATGTATAGAGTTTTTCCCCAGTGTGAGTCCTTTGATGTAACTGTAGTTTTCCACTCTCAGAGAAGCTCTGTCCACAGTCCAGGCATGTATAGGGTTTCTCCCCAGTGTGAGTTCTATGATGCCTATGTAGATGGGAACTCTGAGCAAAGCTCTTTCCACACTCCAAGCATTTATAGGGTTTCTCCCCAGTGTGAGTCCTTTGATGTGAATGCAGACTGCCCCTCTGAGCAAAAATCTGTCCACACTCCAGGCATTGATAGGGTTTCTCTCCAGTGTGAGTCCTTTGGTGTGTATCTAGACTTCCACTGTGAGTGAAACTCTGTCCACACTCCAGGCATTGATAGGGCTTTTCCCCAGTGTGAGTCCTTTGATGTGTACTTAGACTTGCACTCTGAGTGAAGCTCTGCCCACACTCCAGGCATGTGAAGGGCTTCTCCCCAGTGTGAGTCCTTTGATGTGCATGTAGGTTTCCACTCTCAGAGAAGCTCTGCCCACAGTCCAGGCATGTATAGGGTTTCTCCCCCGTGTGAATTCTTTGGTGCCTACGTAGGTGAGAACTCTGAGCAAAGCTCTTGCCACACTCCTGGCATTTATAGGGTTTCTCCCCAGTGTGAGTCCTTTGATGTGAATATAGTTTTCCACTCTGAGCGAAGCTCTGTCCGCACACCTGGCATTGATAGGGTTTCTCTCCAGTGTGAGTCCTTTGATGCGTATGTAGGCTTCCACGGTGAGTGAAACTCTTTCCACAATGAAGGCATTGATAGGGTTTTTCCCCAGTGTGAATCCTTGTATGTGAAGTTAGAGTTGCACTCTTAGTGAAGCTCTGCCCACACTCCAGGCATTGATAGGGTTTCTCCCCAGTGTGAGTCCTTTGGTGTGAATGTAGACCTGAACTATGAGAAAAGCATTGTCCACACTCCAGGCATTCATAGGGCTTCTCCTCCGTGTCAGTGCTGTGATGTGAATGCAGACCTGAATTATCAGTGAAGCTCTCCCCAGTTTGAGTCCTCTCATGTTCAGTCAGACTTCCACTTTCACCGAAGCTCGTTCCACCCTCCAGGCCTTCATAGGGCTTCTCCCCGGTGTGAGTCCTTTGGTGTGAATGTAGACCCGAACTATGAGCAAAGCACTGTCCACACTCCAGACATGGATAGGGCTTCTCCTCCGTGTCAGTGCTGTGATGTGAATGCAGGCCTGAATTGTCAGTGAAGCTCTCCCCAGTTTGAGTCCTCTGACGTTCAGTTAGACTTCCGCTTTCACCGAAGCTCGTTCCACCCTCCAGGCCTTCATAGGGCTTTTCCCCAGTGTGAGTCCTTTGGTGTGAATGTAGACCTGAACTATGAGCAAAGCACTGTCCACACTCCAGACATGGATAGGGCTTCTCCTCCGTGTCAGTGCTGTGATGTAGACCTGAATTGTCAGTGAAGCTCTCCCCAGTTTGAGTCCTCTGACYTTCAGTRAGACTTCCYCTTTCARCGAAGCTRGTTCCACCCTCCAGGCCTTCATAAGGTTTCTCCCCYGTGTGAGTCCTTTGGTGTGAATGTAGACCTGAACTATGAGKAAAGCACTGTCCACACTCCAGGCATGGATAGGGCTTCTCCTCCGTGTCAGTGCTGTGATGTAGACCTGAATTGTCAGTGAAGCTCTCRCCAGTTTGAGTCCTCTGACGTTCAGTCAGACTTCCACTTTCACRYAAGCTCTTTCCGCCCTCCATGCATTCATAGGGTTTCTCCCCAGGTGAGTCCTTTCATGTCACCACAGATGGTCCCTCCCAGTAGAACTCTTAGCACACTCCAGGCATTTAGATATTCTCCTTCATGTGAACAGTGATATAGGTCTCTAATTGGAATGCAGATACTTTACTCTTCTTTTTTCCTTCCTGATCTGTGACGTCAAGAACTCAGAAGGACCATCACCTTGAGGGCATTCCTTCTTCCTATATTGTTGCTTTCCTCGCTGCATCCGAGAGGCAGCTCCACAGAATCCGCCTTTCCCTGGTCAAGAAAGAAGCAAAAATGCAAGGATTAAATATAAGATAATGATGGACATGAAAGAAAGAGGTGGCTTTGGGTTATCGAACTTACAGCTATATCATGACGCATGTGTACTGTCCTGGGTCAAGGAGTGGTCCACATTAAAGAAGCGTAAACTGCTAAACCTGGAGGGCTTTGATATAAGGAGGGGGTGGCACGCCTACTTGTGGCACGGTAAAGCGAAAATAGAAAAGAACTTTTCCAATCCCTTCATCAGAGCCGCTTTACTAAGAGTGTGGGGAAAGTACAAGGGCAGCAGGCTATATAATAAGACACCCCTCTGGCTGTCGCCCATCGAAGCCCAACACACAAGAGAGAAATCCCAAGTGACAAATGGCACACACATAGAGAGAGCACTGCTGGGAGGAAAAGGGAACCAGTGGAAACTAAAATCTTTAGAAGCATTAAGAGAATTGGACTCTAATTTCTCCTGGTTTCACTACATCCAAGTATCAGACTGCTTCAAGGAGGACAGAAAAAAGGAATTTACCTCACAGGAGACATTCTGGGAGGCAATAATGAGGAATGATAGGGAATTAATAAAAGCCCTCTATCAAAGGCTGCTGGAATGGGAGACAGAAACTGAGTGAGTAAAGGAGAATATCATCACATGGGCGGCAGGCTTTGGGTACACCATCCTCCTCAAGGAACGGGAGAGCATTTGGAGGGGGAAATTAAAGTATGCCAAGCCCGCATAAATATAACTGAGAATTGGCAAACAGTTTTCCATCATTGGCACCTGACACCCCAGAAACTTGCGAAATGTGGAGTTCAATTGGGCTCCTACTTCCATGCCTGGTGGCAATGCAAAAAGGTGAAAGGTTTTTGGCAGGAGGTACATAAGCAGGTACAGAAAATTATCAAGATCAAAGTTGAATGCAAAGCTGAATATTATCTGTTGCGCCTATTAGACTTTAAGCGAGAACATAACAAAGAAATGCGACTATACCATTTGCCTGCAGCTGCCAGAACACTTCTGGCAAGCAAGTGGAAACCAAGTGAGCTACCTACAATTGACGCTTGGCTACTCAAAATCAGGGACTTTATGGAAATGGACTCGTTAGCGAATATGACTGATGAGACGAGCAAGAAAAGAAGAATTGACTGGCATCCAGTAAGGTCATGTTTGAAAGAGAGTAAAAACATTATGCTTGGGTAAAAGGGAAGGCAGTAACCGAAACTTAACAAAGGGCAATACATTGCAAGCACTTAAGACTATATGACCCTGTGGAATATTGAGGAGGTCCTATAGGTGATTGTATGTCTACTGTTTCGCCATGTTGTAATCTGTGTGTTGAATGTTTTTCCTCTCTCTCTCTCTCTCTCTCTCTCTCCCCCTCCCCTTACACTCCCCCCCCCCGCCCTCACTGCCCCCTTCCCCAGTCTGTTTCATTTATAAGACCCACAATGTCTATTTGTCGGAAATGTAAAGTGTATGTCTCAAAAAAAAAAAACTTAATAAAGATTATTTAAAAAAAAGAAGAAAGAAAGAAAGAAAGAAAGAAAGAAAGAAAGAAAGAAAGAAAGAAAGAAAGAAAGAAGCAAAAGAACAAGGGTGAGAGCCAGAGACCTTCTTTAGCTCCAAGATTTCCCCCTTTCCCTTCGTGGCTCATGTCGAAAAGGGAACTACCAAGAAATGCAGACGTCAGAGCCTCAGGCATAGACACAGATGCCAACCATGGCAATCCCTGAATCTTAAAAAAGAAGGGAATGAATCCAGAAAGAAAAAAGAAAGGAAGAGAGGGAGGGAGGACGGAAGAAGGGAATGAATGACAGAAGGAAGGAAGGAAGGAAGGAAGGAAGGGGAACTCCTTGCAATATTGGAGAATCACATCCATTTATTTGGGTCAAGCACAAATGATTTCTTTGGGTCGATCTCCACTGGCTGCCAGTCTGCTACTGAGCACAATCTGACGTGCTGGCTATGAAGCCCTAAATTGTTCCGGCCCAGCTTACCTGCCCAAATGTCTCTCCCTCTATGAACCACCTCAGAGATTAAGATCGTCTTGGGAGGCCCTGCTCTCGGTCCTGCCTCCTCCGCAAGTGCAGTTGGGGGGACAAGTCAGGGCCTTCTCAGAGGTGGCCCCTTGCCCATGGAACTCCCTCCCCAGCGAAATTAGAGCAGTCCCTCCCTCCTGACCAGGAAGAAAGTAAAAACCTGGTTATGGGACCAAGCTCTTGGATAGAAGTATGAGAATATGGAAGAGTGACATGACAAATGGAACAGTCTTGGATTACACGTTGGATGGTGTGATGGTACTCATTGGCTTTAATATCGATATGGTTTACCTTTTTACCTGAATTATCAGGATGTGCTAAATGTTGAGGGACACAAAGAGTACTGGGCTGCCTACCATCCCACAATGGGGCCCAGGTCTGCTTACCGAGCATCCCAATTAGGCGTCCACTGCCACCAAATTTCCTGTTTTCCCCCAAAGGAATCCTGCAGCCAACCAAGAGCCTGCCTCCCCACACATCTAATTCAAACTCGCATTGAAGCTTGTGGGGATGTTCACAAAACCAACTCCTGCTGAACAAAATCCCCTTTGGGCCCTTCATTCCCTTGGCTCAGCCCCCGGATGAGATGCCAAGACAAGCCCAGCTTTGCCTCACAATGCCTTTCCCCACCAGCCTCCTTCACCTTTGCCCACACCCTCCTTGTCCGCTTTGTCCTCTGTGTAGGGAAAGGTTTCCAGCGGCTGAAGGAGAGCTAGAGAAACACAGGTTTTCCATACATGGTCCTAGGAATGTCTTTGACCGGCACAATAAATCCAGACCCTGGGAAGAATGGGCATCTATTCTGACCCACCCCACAAATGTCTTACTCTGCATGGGCAAAACTGCCTGGAAAGGGAAAGCAGAGCAGCCAGTCTTCCTCCATGCTTAAAATAAAAAACATGGCCCTACAAGTCTGGCCTCTCAAAAGGAAATCCTACAAATACGGAAGGGTTGGTCTCTAAAACGGTGATTCCCAAGCTTCTTTTTGACCAGGGACCACTTTGGTTTCTTGTTATTAGCAGGGACCAGTTGTGTTCCCACAGAAGTTGAGAAAGCAAGAAGCCATTTTGTTCCCTTCTGCTTCAGTTAAGCCTTGTCTTAGAGGGCACTAGGAATCTGAGTGAGTGTTTAAAATTAGCGGCTGCAGTGCAGAGTGTTTGCTTTGTTTCAGAGGCGGGGCGCGGCTACATTCTTTCAGCCAGCAGAGAGGTCAGCAATTATAGGCTTCTGAGGCCACAAGAGACACGAGCTTTTGGAAGAGCAAACCCTGGCGGAGCGTTTGTCCTATTGGGCAAGGAAGGTTTGGGATTGGGATTCTTAGTTTGGTCAAAGTCCCACAGTAGGCCACAAGAGACACAAGCTTCTGGAGGAGCAAACTGTTGAAAGTATTGTAAGTGTACAAAATTATATTGTTCATTGAATATTTTTAGTTATGTTTAGTTGGTAGGATTGTATCTTTAATTGTTGGAATGCTTATAATTTAAGTCTTGTCAATTGGATACAGGTGGAGCTCATTACTGTTGTTATTATAGTTTGCATCTGCCTGTAATGTCTGGTCTGGTCTCTGGGTGGCTTTTTTTGTTTGTTTGTTTCTACTTTGAAACTGTAATAAATTAAGTTTCTGCTGTAGTTTTTTATTATGGTATTTTTGCAATTTGATATCATAACTTTGCTAACAGGTTATGGGCCCAGACACTACATAATCCATGTGTCTGGGGTGATGTTTGTTTTTGAAGTATGTGGTTTGGAACATTGAGAAGGTTTTTTTTGAAGGCATTTTTGAGTCCTCTGCTCCTGGTTGCTTTGGTGAGCAGCGAGGCTTAAAGCAATAGCTTGCTGCTGAACGCTAAACTTTGGGAGGTTCGCATTCAGAGAAATTAAGAAGATTTATGGCCTGCTATGTCGGAGTTTTTGTCTCAGTTTTGCCTTCTACGTGCCTGTGCAGCTAGGGCCAACTTTTGTTGCTTTCCTGTCTGGCCTTGCACAGAAGTTTTTTTCCAGCAAATGTTTCTGAAGTCGAAAGGAGAAGCAAACAGTCTGTGAGTCCGACCCTGTTTGAATTACTGCAAAGTTTGAAAGATATTGGACTGCTAGAAGCCAATTTTACTTGAAGGAGTGAATATAAATTGGCTGGGCTGAAACCCGGGTATACTGGGGGTCCTTTCTTTTTTAGCGCAGTGAGATTTATTCTTCTGGAACTTTGGGGCTTCAAAGTGAAATACCACCATGGCTTTGCCGCCTGTTCAAGTTGGTTCACTCCCTTTTGAGAGACTAACTGATAAGAACTGGCTCAGATGGAGCATCAGATTTAAAGCTTATCTTGTTTCCCAGAATTTATGGGGAATAATTGAGACTTTGCCAGCTCAACTAACTCCTGCGGATCAACAAAAAGATGAAAGAGCTTTGGCGCTTCTTCAGTTGTCTATGTCAGATTCTTTGTTGGTTCACCTTCATAATATTCCTCATGCACAAACTGCGTGGAATCTGTTGAAAGACGTGTTTCAAAGACCATCAAGTGGCTCAAAGATAATTCTTATGCGACAGCTGTTTAACCTCAAACATGAGGAGGGCACTCCAGTTCAAACGCATGTTACAAAAGTTGTGGCTCTTTTTTCAGAATAGAAAGCAAGAGACATTATTTCCCCCCCTGAGCAACAAGCGTTGATCCTGATGGGATCCCTATCTCGCCCTTTTTATGCGTTTATGGACTCTCTCCAAGGAATTCCAGACAGGGACCTTACGATACCTTTTATTTCGGGGAAAATTATCGAATTTGAAGCTCAATGCAAATTGAGAAGTTTTGCTCCTATGCAGAAGGGTTCAAGTTCTGGGACTGTTTCTAATGACACTGCTTGTGTTGCTAAGCCAAAGTCACAAATTGTGTGCTTTAAGTGTAAAAAGAAAGGGCATTTTGCTAAGAATTGCAGGCAGAATCCAGGACAACGGAGAAACAAGCAAGTGGAGAGACCTAGTTCTTCAAAGGACTTACAGCATGC